AAGGAAAAGGCATATGATTGGCCAAAAATGTCTCTAATTTGTAATCATGTGTGTGCTAATGCCCACTACTAACCTGTCACAAATAACACTGCTTGCTTGCATTATCATTAGTGTGGCATGCAAAAAGCATGGCTGTTTATGCTCGCTTTTACATTAACATACTAAAAGCATTGAAGACTAGAATGTGTAAAATTCCTGTTTTGACTGGCCAGTTTCACATTTTACTTCTTCAGCTTACTGAAAATCAGTTTGAAATCCGTGTATCTTATATAGAGGTTCATTTTGTGTCCAGCTTAGCTGTGTTGTTAATCACAAATACTCCCTTCCTGTGTCATCTCACACTGTTACCTCTTTTTTGAGAAGATCTCATCCCTCGATATGCAGTAGCAGCAGAATTGCATCTTTTGAATCATATTGTGAATGAAAACTTGGCAGTAATGACAGATAGTGGGGAGAATGTAGTGTCTCTGCTGCTTGAGATCAGTGCCACCTTCTCCATGGTTGGGCATAGCATGTGGGGAATTGAGCAAGAGAATATGTAGGAATTTGGGACATGGCTACAGTTTTTTGTATGTAATGGTGCTTCTGATGACAGTAGTAAAATGCCTAAAACATTTGACCTTTAAACAACTTTAATTTTAACTCAACTGGTTGTAAAAGTACTTAAATTTTCATGTTAAACATGTGGATGGCGAGATGAATTGAACAGGGGCTTGGTTTGAAAGTAGCACAGACATTATTTTCTTCATTGCTCTCTAAGGTCTGCTGAACAGTAACTTTGCACTGGTTTTCAGAGTGGGGAGAGTGTCATGTTGAGCACTACAGGCAGTTGGTGTCAGGCAACAATGTGATGGAGCTGCAGCTGTCATGTTAGCAGTGCCACCACAAAACTTCTTCATGTGAGAGTGCCTGCCCGTGAGCCTGGGAAAGGAGCAGGAGGCGCTGCCTTGGGCATCACTTCTGTATCTGCTTGGGCCTCTTCCGTGCTGTTTAGCTCAGAAGTTTTTAACTTGAACGCTTGCAGTGTAACTTCTGGGCTAAATTTACGACTTAATGATAGGATTCAAAAGATTCCTGTCTTTGCCACCTGACTTTAAAAGCAAGGTTCTTAGCTAGATTTATCGATCTAAACAATTTTCTGTTTGGATTGTTGCAGTAAGTAGTGCCATGGCTTACTATTCTACGAAGCTGACTTACAATGACAACATATTCATTCACATCTTTTAAACTGTTCTGGATTTTTTTTTTTTAATTTTCTACCTGCCAGTACAGTCAATCACCAGGAACATTTTGTCCTCCTTTGGACACCTTAGCTTGAACAAAATTCTCCTTTCATCAGTAGGGGGCAAAGAAGAGAATCTAGTTGCACACAGGAGATGAATGTTGTCTTGGATAATTTCTTCCCGCTGTCACTTCTAAAAGCCCCGGGTGGTGCCCTCTGGTGTGGAGGTGCCCATTGATGCTCAGTGACCATCCGGGTCTGATGCAACTGCCCAGGTATAGCATCACTTTCTGGGGGCCTTGAGGACCGTGGCATTGTTGTATTTCCTACGAATGGTGGAAAGCAGATAAATACACTTATGTACATGGCTAAAAGAAGGCATGTAGGAGAAATGACCCCAGGATGAGATTTCTAGTTTGGGTTAGCCCCGTGTTTCTGTCATATGTGAGCGTGTGTGCCAGCCCTCTGTCTGAGAAACCCTTGTTGGTAAAAGCCCTCATTGATCTTTCTTTCCCTTTTCTTCCTAAGGAAATGCACCAGCAATGCACTACTGAGATGTCACTGTCCTGAGTGCTAAACTTGCTCTTCCGTTTTTTGTGCAGACTCCAATTCCAGTATTCCAGAACCACTTCAAAACCCTTCTGCAGAGCTTCCTACGGAGGCAGCGGGCAAAGAACTGCACAACCACCTCCCTCTAGATATTGACAATGACACAGAAAGCACTGCTCTGTGAAGGGAGCCAAAACACGCTTTCCTTTCCTGACGGGAAAACTGACAGAGCCAACAGTGAAAAGCTTCTCCTGCCGGCACGGAGACCTGTGTGCACCTCAATGCAGGGCGAGGAGCTGTGCAGGAGAGGTGTAATGATCTGTGTGTCTCGAGTTATCCACATCCCCGATGGAAGGAATTAATCATGGCAGAAGCGTGCATAGGAAGTGTAGCTGCTGCTGTTACCAACGGTATTAGCGAAATTCCAACCGATTTTAAGAAGCGAATTATTAGTTATTTAAAGTGCATGTATTACGGAAGTAATCTTTTTAATGCCGCGGTTAGACTCTTATTCTAGTTGTTAGGCGTTACAAGGAGAGGCCTTGCGAGAGACATTCCCTCACTGCTTTGCTGCAGGTTTTTGAGACGTGAACCAAAGCCGGCACAGCGGCGGTGACTGCTGGCCCTGTCACTGCTCACAGCTGTGTGTGCTCAGTGCCTTGACGGACTGTGACTGCAGGAGGAACCTTACTGTATTGTAATCATTTCAGCGCTACTCTGTGATCAGTACCTAATCTGTATTTCATAGTTATTTGTATTAACCAGCCTGCTTTTTGTTTATGTGGAATTAATGACTGTTTGGAGAAAAAGCTGTGGAAGTGGTTTCGTGCTTTCATAGGAAACGGTTGGATTTTGAAAGAAAAAAAAAAATTCTTTGAACATCTGTTTTGATGCATCAGTTGGGTGAACGTTTATAAAATTAAAGACCGCCTTTTCTCAACCTGAGCCCCTCTTCGTTCCGCGCGCCAAAACGGGGGGGCGGCGGGGCCCCCCCCCCCTTTCTGGGGCCCAGCAGGAGTACTGTCCAATCCCGTCCCCGCTCCCCTCACGCGGGAACCGCCCAACTAACACCGCCCTATCCAATCCCGTCCTCGCTCTCCTCAGGTGGGAAACGCCTACTAAGTGCCGCCCTCCCCAATCCTGGCCCAGTAAGAACAGAGCGGCCTCTTCACCGCGTTTTGCCAGGCCCAAATTGCTATAGCGGCCGTCAGCGTTGTAGTAGCCTCTGTACTAGGTGGCTAGGTCGTTTCCCGAGCACCAAACGCAACCGTTCCGCTGCTGCTACTGGAAAGTCGGGTCCTATGCCACCTCTCAGCCTCGATCACATCCGTCGGGGAACTCCGGAGCAGCCATTGCTGGCCGAGTGGGCGGGTCGAGCGGGGCAGGGCGGGAGTGTCTACGAATCGGATTGGGTGAAGCGGAGCAAGGCGGGAATGGGGGGCGGGCCAAGCCCTGACTGGGCTGCGGCGGGGATTGGTTCCCGCTGAAACTATCTAGGCAGTGATTGGCTCTGAGCCAAAAAGGCGGGAACAGGAGGTGTGAAATACGAGCGCGTGCCGCAGCGTGAGGGAGTATCGGCGAAGGTGAGAAGGCGGCGGCGGCGGCGGCGGCAGAGCAGGGAACGGAGCCGGGAGCAGAGCGGAGTGCGGTGAGCCTGGCTGGGAAGCTGCGACTGGGGGTCGGCGAAGTGATGAAAGGATTGGCTGTTGGCCATCGCGGCGATTTAGGTGGGGACCGCGTGCGGTGTGCAATGCCTGTGGGCACTGTGTAGAATGGAGTCACAGCGGGAAAGGACTGCTGGTGGGCTGCTGCGGGAAGACAGGGCAGCTGTGCAGGAGTGCTGGAGCTGAAACACAGAAGGAGCGGAGAATAAAGATGTTGTGGGAAACAGCAAGAGCTGAAATCACTGGTGTGAGCTTCCTATAAGGTTTTGTGGGCAAATATTGCAAGAGCTGAAATCTTAGGGCATAAGGTGGAAATAAAGCCTCATGGGGACAAAAATGGGAGGCAGTGAAAGAACAATGAAAGTTCAAAATAAAAACTGAGGCGGGAAACAGAGCATGTGGTAACAGTGCAGAGCTGCTGCTGGAACCCGCAGCACGGTGTGAAGGTGTGTCGGAGAGGCTGAGCTGCACAAAGCCA